GCAAGCCACCTCGCCACACCGTGGCCACCTGGACGGCCCAGGACGGCCAAGAGGCCGTCCACTTCGTGTCCAGGGTGCGATGGAGGAACCAGCCCCGTCCAAACCCTTCCCAGCTGCCCGCCCAGATCCCACAGCCCTTCCGAGGGCATACGCTGCCCCGTTTTTCGCTACCCGACGACCACCCAGACGCCTGCTGGCTGTGCCAAGTCCCGGTGGTCCACCAGGACACACACGAGGCCAGCCGCCGACACACTGACCTCCTGAAAAACATGGGCCGCCCCGCCGGCGTCGCAGCAGCAGTACAACTGCTTCGCCGGGATCGGCCAGACCTTCTAGCTCCGGCGGCTCTCGGCTTCAGCCAAGCTACTGGAAGCCGGAGTCCTGCCCCCGACCAACTGCTCGTTGACGGGTTCGTCGCCGAAAACCCGGCGCTCGGCCCCTTCCCCAAGCACACACCGGCCCCACCAGTGCCGGCCCCCCGTTCGACAACTGCGGCCCCATCCGCGTCCACCAACACCAGCGACGCGGAGATGAATGAGCTGGAGGAGTACTTGGCCAACAATCCAGCGACCCCTTATGCTACCGACGGGCCAGATTCTTTCGTCGACGGAGCCGCCGCCGAAGACCCGGCACTCGGCCTCTTCCTCGAACACGCACCAGTCCCACCGGTGCCGGCACCCCGTTCAACGGCTGCGGCACCATCCGCGTCCACCACCACCGGCGACGCGGAGATGGGCGAGCTGGAAGAGTGCTTGGCGGACGGTCCATCGACTTAGGATGCTTCGGAACCCCCGGAGTTGGAGGCTTGAGGGGAGGGGAGGAGAATACCACAAACTACACCCGAAAAATATTATATTTGAGATTTTACGCTTATCAATTAGTTTTGACAGCACGTAAAGGACAACACCACACCTGATTTATAAGTAATGACTTTGGTATCTGTTGACATTACGGATTAAACTGTGAAAAAGAACAATGTTTACCCGAAGCTCCGAAAGCATGTTCACAGCAAGGAAATACGTTCACGGAAGATCACGAGTTTCCACCGAAGAGCCTGAACTTGCGCCTGCGTCCGTTCATACCAGCAAGCAAAAAAACGAAAAAAACATTCCAAGGGTGAAAGAGTGCGATACTTTGCGGAGCAGTATCGGGACCGTACGCAGTTGTTGATGTAGCTGCATATCTGAAAACGGGAAAGAGGTATGCTTGCGCGTAATGTTATCTCACTTTGGCAGTCACAAGACTCGGGCAGGCTGGGGGAGGAAGAGAAAGGGAAAACAAATAGAGAGAAGTAGGCGCGGATGAATTTGCTGACGGTGAGGAGGATTGTTAGAGTCTAATCACAAAGTATTTTCTTGGGGGAAGGAGCCGGACATTCTGGCACGTTCTTTCTTACGATATAGCAGAGCGATTGTAACCAGGTTTGCTGTGTTATTAAATATTACTAAAGAAGAACATTATGGTCATGCTAAATTAGGTTCTTTTAACAATACGAACTGATTATCATGGTCACACATTTTTCATAATGTGATTAAACGAATTGTTCCTTGCATAGCTAATATACATGGAAACATGAAAACTAATTTGGCTTCAGCGCCATAAGATATATTTACTTAGTGTAAGCTAGACCGCTGAATGCTCGAGGCACAACACAATGCAACCTTATACATTAGGCACTCGTCAAAACCGAAGTGATAATTCTAGTTCAAAAATTACTTTCTTCTGCTCTCCTAGCTACGTGCACCCTGTTTCGAATGGAGGCTTCAGGTGATTGCTTATACCAAACATGACACGAACGCAGTCCAGGCGCTTGGCGAATGCCGCTCCAGTTTTCCTTCATCTCTTCTCTGAACTTCGTAAGTTCTTCGGTGGGGAAGTCGATAATGCGCGTTTTGACTTGCTTCGCTTTTAGGACAGACATAAAGTCGCGAGAAGTCAGGATTGCAGAATTAGCAGTTTCTCTGGTGTTGTGTAATATGGCATGCTGCTTTAAAGGGCCACCAATGCCGTCACAGGCGTTCTTTCCGTGGCCACTTGCAAAGATCAGCCACCGCCACAGGACGCGGTTTTTCCCCCATTTCATAGAACTGAAATTTGTTTTTGAAATGCATCACGGCGCCATCTGATACATATATTATCGTTTTGAAGATGGGTTCTTCCTCTTCAAGGATCGTAAAAAATGGTTCTTAGCGCCAAAAGGGCATGTGCAGAATCGTGTCGAAGGTCATCACTAATTGTGGCAAAGCTTCTTGCTCCGTTGGCTGTTGTGGCAACACAGGTGAAAATGCAGATTTGCTTTTTACGCCAATAGTAGCCTTACACTTCGTTTGGAAGAACAATGCTGCAATTTTCTGCAAATTTAAAGTGTAACACAATTGACCTTTCTGTTACATTCGCCTTAACAGCTCGTATTGCTTTTCTTTGAATATTCGTAATGTATTCATGAGTAATGTATTTTTTCACGCAATCTCTTGTCAGCTTGAGGAACACGGCCACAGTAAGCGTCTTCTTTATCAAGTTTTCCGACTCCCAATTCGCCAGTTGAATATCCTCCTCACAATGAAGATATAGTGTACGTGCACTTAGACTCCTCACTCCACGGCATTCTTTGCATTTTAGCAGCATACAGGCTTCTGAAGGGTTGGAGCATATGCAGAGAGAAGTGCATGATGTCCTTTTCAGAGAAAGCGCGGGATGAGGCGTTGTTGACTGATGCCACCACGAGTTGAAAGTTCGCAGAAATCGCGCACACGCACTGGTCTTTGTGCGGAGCAATTTTCACCCACTTCGGACGCAGCGTATAAAATTTGGTTAGGCCAAGCTTGATGTCCGGATAGGTTTTTATCAGAAGAGAGTAGGATTCACGAATAGAGCGCGTCATATATCGTATCACTACAAACTCCTTCGACCCCGATGTTTTTAACGCGATGACGTCTCTCTTGCTCGGGCTTTGAATAGAGCAGCCCATCTCGTCTTCTCAGAAAACACGACGAGCCGTCGCGATATCCGATTCCCTGAGCTTGTGCGGAGTGTATGGATCAGGAAGTGCCCATAATCCTTGGTCTGCTTTAAGGTGTCTTGCTTTGTCGATCAAGTACTTGGTTTCCTCGGGAACAACGCTTAGTATTTGCTGCTTGCTCATATCGTTTGGAAACAGTGTGAGCAACTGACACCTTTCACTGATAGACGCGCTCTTCTGGAATGCTGTCCGCACGTTTGCTTCCCACTTGGCGCACATTGTGGACGAAGATGCTCCAGTTGTCTGCTGTGGCACAGGCACATTATACGCGTCACTGATCTTACGCCGCATTCGTTTCCAGTGGCGGATCCAAGGGGGGGGGGGGGGGGGGGGGGGAGGCGACGGGGGCGGCGCCCCCCCCCCCCCCCCCCCCAAACAAAGTCGACCCTCCCCCCTCCCCTCTTCTCGGAGGGCAATTTGACATGGGTGGACCCCCCGGTGCACAAGAAAGAATGAGTCGCTCAAGTGTGTACTACCCAAAACAAGTCCTAACAAGTCATTCTTCGCAGCGCCTCCTGGGCAACGCAGGACGCATATACAACACTGACAAATGTGTGGCCCCTGTTTGGGCTCCACCAAGTTTCCTCATGTTCTGCGTTTCCCGTGTTTTGGCTTTAACAATCGGTTGGGATACTTCCGCGGTAAACACACAAATTACGTAACTGATCCGTGAGAGCTTTCTTTCAAGCTCTGCGGGGTTCAAGGTACGTTCAACATTGCTCTCGGTCGGAAGCAGCAGCTCGGGTATCCCGCAATCGACTGCTCGCATTGCTGGGTTCAAGGTCCATCTCGCGGCACAGTCGACCACGCAACTCGATAACGTTAGGAGAGGTTCTATCGCCACAGCAGGAACGAGTATTATCTGCCGATGGGAGCTGAGACGATATTGCAGATGTCTTTTTTTATCTTCTCTTTGAGAACTTTGCGCTTGACAGAGGCGGCAGTTGTCATAAAATCTGCTGTCAGTGGTTCTTGTTTTACAGCATATTGAGATGCTCGACATTCCTAAACTACTGATTTACACCTATCAAAATATATGTCTGTTAAGAGAAGGCTATCAAGAGAGTAATATACGAGAAAATAAAAAAGTATTAAAAATGGCCTTTTTTGGTTAACGGAGCAATGAATTTGAGCAAATTTTGAAAACTTCATCATTTTCAAAAAAAAATTTTTTGTATACAAAAATCATAGACAAATGAAACGTGTATTTTTGAAAAGGCAATGAAACGCTCTGTCAGAGAAAGAAAATGAATGTCATACGTTAGAAGTTTTACCTAAAAATTAAATCTGAATCTTCGCGCATAATCATCAGAGGTGGCAAGTTTGGCTATCTTTAAAAAAACTTTCAATTATGAGTAGAAATATAATTCTAGAGGAAATTACACTCAGTAATACGTAGATTACCACAATATGTTATAAAGGCCCTGCTTTAAATATTATAGAACCGAAACTACATTGTTCTTTCCCGCACCTTTGGGAATTTATATCACGAAAACTAAAACTTTCCGACGATTAAAATAAAAAGCGTCGTTCTAGGTAAAGTATGCGGTACAACATATAAAGATTAAAAAAAAACAAAAAAAAAACGATTCCCATCTACTGCCTGAATCGGAATGAAACCGGCCATATATACTCTTCCTTTTTTTTTTTTATCATAGCACAATTGGTTCTTCTGCTACGGTTCATTGCTGTGTATTATATGCCGGGAAGATCACACTTGGGCTGAATCTCTAAGATGTGTATACTTATTCGAAGAAATAAGAAAAAAAAAAGTTCAAGCGTTTAACATCATTAATCCGAAGAAAGTTGTTTCATGTGACAAAACCCTGACGTGGCGGATGAAATAACTGTCACGGTGAATGACTCCACTCTCTCGGAGAAATCAATCAAACAAAAGGCAAAATGTCGTTTCATCATCATACCGAAGGAATTCCTTTCCGCAACGGTAACTCTTTTTTCTCCTCCGATGACTGTGCACCACTACCGGAACGACGACGCATCTGCGAAGGTCAGCCATGCTACTCCATGCGAGCTACTCACCGCGCGCTTTTTCGAGAGCCGTTTCCCGCGCCACAATCGTGCGCGGAAAACCGCGCCAGACGCCGAGCACGCGCGTCGCGTCATTGGTCGGTTCCTGGAGGCTCGCGCCGTGACGTCATAGACGCGGACGCGCGCCGCGCCCCGGCGGCCGCCTAGCGGGAGTGAGTGTCCCGCGCCGCTCTTCACTGTCTCGCTCGTCTGCAAGCCGGACGTTTCGGTTCCAGTTTCGTCTTATCTTCTTGTTCCAACTCCTTCCAAAACTTGGCTTCAACTCAGAAGGCCGTGCTTCTCCGGAATTCGCGATCGATCACCACCAATCGCTGAAGGAGACACCCGGCGAACTGTGCTTAGTTTAGACGCGAGAAGTTTGGTTCGTCGTTGTTTTTGTGGGGAGAACGAAGAGTACGGAGGAGCGACTCGGTCAAGATGCGACCCATGGAAAAGTGTGTGTGGTGCGGCGTTGCGGCGTTCCTGCTTCTTGGGATCTTACCCGGACAATCGTCCGTCAAAGGTAAGGATAAAACGAATACATAGCACAGTGCCGGGTCAGTGCTTTCCGAGAAGTTTCCTTGGGTGTGCGGAGGCACTCTGTTTCTGGAAATGGGAGTGACGGTGTTTTGGGGGTGTTCGCGGTTGCGGTGATATTTGTCAGAGGCTAACCCGTAGGCCCCTTGCAGCTGAGAGCGCGAGTTTCGTTTCTCCCCCCATTATGTGAATAATCGTAAAAAAAATTACCAATTTACGTTTTTTTGGGAGACGTCTCTAATGCCATCGGATTTGCTAAGTAATAGTTTCCGTCGATAGTTTTATCCATAATTTCTGAATCCTGAGATTTTTATGTGTATTTTCGGCACGTGCATATAAAATTTTGGTATCGAATAGCGTCGTGTTCATTATAGCCTGGGCATGGCAAAGGAAAATACATAATTGTTCTTGTTCAATACTGTTATAAACTGTTAAAGCAATTATGTCGATTACGATAAGACAGATTCTAGTGAAGCGCAGCAATTTTCTCGCCCCTTTCCCCAGCTCGCAATCGACTATCTATATTTGTGTGATACAAACCAATATTAGCGCACTACTAGCTAATTTACTCTCAATGCGAGTTTACGACAATTAAAATCAATCGCAGCATTCGGAGTTTACAGCATCAAACTCCACACTTCTTTATTCCTAAAGGCGCGAGAAACGAGGCTTCTGAAATTATCTATTTTGTTGTGTTATACCCTTTCCTTCCCGCCTTTTTCTTTTCGATAGGAACTGGCATTTATTGAGTTCACTTGAACGATGTTGCACTTGGCGAGATTGCACGCGTAAACCCAATTGGGTGGCGGTATATTTTTTTTATGTATGGTGTTTTTGTTTCTTCTTTCTCCAACATAAATGCATTACAGGCGTCTGTCAGTTTACTCAGCTTTTATCTTCCTCTCCTGTGACTATCGTCGTCCAATCAGATGTTACAAGACCCGCACACACTCGCCGCAGTTCACCGTCCTGTCGCGCGAAGAAGACCCTCGCGTTCGGCCTTACGTGGCGTTGTTTCGTCGTTTGCGCTCCCAGGGTGTGGCTTTGCGGCCGTCCGTGCACTTGGGATCTCCCGTCCGCCTTTCGTAGGTCGTACGTGTTACAGCGGTCGCTCTCGGTCGCGCGTTCGTTGGAGAGAGGAAATGTTTTGTAGGGCGCTGGGGATACGCTCGCGTACGCGAGCCGACTTTCACAGCGTGCGTATGCTTCGGGTCCTTCTCGCGTGTGGGCTGCGCGCCTACGGTTTACTCGTCGCAGCTGGGGCGTGCACGGGGGGCCCGGCGGAAATAGCGTTGAGGTTGCTGCGCGATGCACGCCGCTGCGGTGCGAACGTGGGCTCGTAGAGATAGATCCGGCATTTCATTTCCCCCGCAGAGAGACGCGCAGGAGTCAACGCTCAACGTAAAACGTCTCTCGCGCCAACTCGTCTCAAAAAAAAAAAAAAAAAAAGATGAGAGGGTTTAACTTTTCTTAGACGGTTGTAAAACGTAGGTTTTCGTTCACCCTATTAACATGAGCAAGGTACTTTCTTATTTTGTGATTTTGTACTGAAAAATAGATAGGGCCGATCAGGCTCGTTCTGGTTGTTGACGGTAAATAATATGATTGCGTGCGCGCTGGTTTTGTTTCTAGTCAACAACTTCAGCCTTTTCCCAAGGTATCCATTTAGTACACCGAGGTTGACCTTTAGAATGGTCTGGCTTCGGATGCTGTCTAATATTAATGAGCCTCGGGAACTCTGCGCGGTTGCAGAGCATACCCCGTCTAGAGACGCATCCACCTTAGCTGGCTTCTACATTTAAACTCCACGCATGAAAAAGAAGGAAAAAACAGTGACGATAATAATAATAAAAAGAAAAGAAACTGACACACACAAAAAAGAGTGACAGGGGGTGCTTGTTGTTTCGCACGTTCTAAATTTGTTGTTGTTGCTGGAATATGTTTATTCACTCACAGACTTACATCAGTTTTGAGACCAACGCGAAGCGTACGCAATAATAGCCGTGGATTCTGAGTTCGTACGCCCTCACGCCCCCACTTCTTCTTTTTCCAAAATGTATTTATTTATTTATTGTACTTTTCCGGTGCCCCTAAACAGCCCATAGGCCTACATAAGGGTGCACCGTTGACAGCTACATGCAGTTTTGCATAAAAAAGATGCACGCAAACGCATACATAATTTGAACAAACAAAAACGTGAAATATAAATGTAAATAAGAAAAGTGCATAAAGTTGAAAACAACACTGTTTGCCAAAAAGACTCATACAAGAGGGCGTCACATTATAAAAGCACTAGCAGAGACCGCAAACTAAAACTTTCCCGCAAAAAGATGTCTACTTCGGGCGTGTTTGCGACATTTGACATGTTAAAATTATACTGGATACGCTCAATGGGTCTTAAGCTTTTTGGATCAGAGGAACCGAAAACACGATGGGAGCGAAGAGACCTGCCAGGTACAGCAATGAGTACGGATGAGGTTAGCTTGGGGCAATCTATGAAACCGTGAAGACATTTGTGTAAAAATAAAAAGTCTCGTGCCTGCCTCCTTTCGGAGAGGCAATGCAGGTTTAAAATCTTCAACAATCGCTCATGGCTGAAATAAATTCGCCTGTTAAAATAACGGTCGTAAAGTAGTCGAACAAACTTCTTCTGTACATTTTCAAGTTCATTCAAGTTTGTCTGGTTTAAACGATTCCAAACAACGCTAGAGAAATCCAGTTTAGACAGGATGAGGGATCGGTACAAATGCAAAAAGCAAGAATATCCTCTAAAGTTTCGAGTCATTCTGGTAATTGCGCCCAGAGTACGGTAACATGTATTGCTCAAGTATGCCACATGATCAGAGAATTTAAATTCACTGTCCAAGAAAACTCCTAGATCACGTACAACTGAGACGCGCTCAATCGAGCACTTGTTCAATGTGTAGTCAAAGGTGTTAAAGAAATGTTTTCTCGAAAAAGATATGACTTTTGCTTTAGCAGGGTTGAGAACCAACTTGTTGTCCTTGCACCAGTCTGCCAATGCTGTAATATCTTGCTGTAGTTTATTGCACTCAGAAATGTCCACAATAGCTCGGAAAAGCTTAACGTCATCGGCAAATTGTAACATTTCCGAGTGATTTATGCATGAGCAAATATCGTTCACGAAGATGTTGAAAAGCAGAGGCGATAGGCTAGAACCCTGCGGGACTCCCGATTTGGAGAGGTACGCGGTTGATTGTGCACCACCGTATGAAACAGAATTCCATCTGTCATGCAGATAGCTCTGAATCCATTCGCAAAGTGGTAAGGAGATACCATAGGACGCAAGTTTCTTAACTAGCAGTGAATGGCTCACTAGGTCAAATGCTTTTTTAAAATCAAAGTAAATTGCGTCGACCTGCTGCTTCGACCCTAGTTTGGCACCCACAAATTCCGTAAACGCTATTAAGTTTGTTTCCACAGAACGATTTGGCATAAAACCATGTTGTTGCACGTTTATACGTCTGGAAAAAAAATGCATGATATGACAATGCATGGCCTTTTCGAACACCTTGGCAAACGAACAGATCAGTGAAATTGGACGATAATTAGTGACAGTTAGTGCCGACCCATCTTTGAATATTGGCACAACTAGAGAGTACTTCCATGCAGTTGGAAAAAGCCTATCTTTCAACGATCGATTAAATACAAAAGTTAAAATCGGAGCTAACACGTCACCGCACCCTTTCACTATAAACAAAGGAATTCCGTCGGCTCCAGCCGATTTCTTGGGTGGTAACGCCCGAATCGCCGCAAAAACGTCGTCAATGCTGAGCTCGGGAATTGATAAGTATGCGTTTTCCTGGTCTGGCAGTGTGCAAGTTTGAGACGTATTTCCCGTGGAATCAAAAACACCAGAAAAGAAATCTGCAAACGCTTGACAGACGTCGCTCGGACTGCTGATATGTTCCGAACCATTAGATAGTGTTATCTTCTGTGCCGTTTTCTTTTTATTCGAGAAGTTCCTGGTATACTTCCAAAGACTTTGCGGATTTTGCTTTAGGCTTGATTCGACACTTTGAGTGTGGCTTCGGAGGTCCCGACGATAAAGACGCTTCGCTAAAGCTCGCTCCGACTTGAACTTTTCGTACCAGAACAGATTATTAGTCAGCTTGTAATGTCTGTGATAGCGTAGCTTTTTCCTCATTGTATGTTTCAATTCGTGGGAAAACCAAAAAGGGTAGTGATTTGTGACACCATGTACGTAAGCCGGAATGAACATCTTCATAGCTGATGTCACTAGGTCTGTAAGCATTAGTACTTGTTTATCTACGTCATCTTTACCTGATGTAATGACTGACCAATCTGTGTTCGCAAGAAACTCGTAAAGCTCCAGGTAATTCCCCTTTGCATAAGAAAAAGCAGTCGCTTGCGGACATGCTGTACCTTGGTTATCAGCTATACTCAAATCTACTTCAAACGGGACATGCCAGGTATAGTTTCCTCTCTTGCGAAAATTCTGCTTCACCTGGATGCTCTCCGCATTGCTATATCGCCTCATGACTGGTCTGAGATTCTTACCCTATTGACGGGGTACTCATCGTTCAAAACCGTGCTGTAATTCACAGAACATAATTGCAAAACACGATCCCACTTTTTTTTTTTTTTTTTTGAGAAGATGAGTGTGTGAATGCCCTTACACCACTTCAGAAATCCATTCTCTCGAAACCTCGCTTAATACCGCGTAGGAGACACGAATACACACCGGCGCCTCCACAGAAGACCGCGCGGACCATAATATGGATTCAGAACTAGGTCGACCACGTAACATTGGGCTGCCGAGCACAACGCCTTTATTTCTCGGGGGCTGCAGCGTCCATACGCGATATGAAACATAGGGTACATTTCTATTCCCGAGAGGGCTAGATTTTTATATATAGCCTTAGCGAATGTTTATAGTAACGTAAATAACGTTACCGTGACTGAAAACGCTCCCGCTCATCTTGGGCCACACCTGCGAAGGCC